AGAGGCTCCCACCAGCAGCGTCAGAGGGCTCACGACTGCCCCGTGCCCAGCAAGCACCACAGCCGTCCACGCGCTGGGAGGGACTGGCTCCGGTCCTGCAGCTGCCCTGTCCTACAGCCGGGGGCTGAAGCCATGATTAGCTGGTCCCCAGCGGAGACCAGTGAGCTCCCCAAGGACAGCCAGGCCCAGGAGCCGAGACCTCCAGACCAGCCAAGGGCCTGGTACCACTGCTCCTCAGGACACAGCCGACAGTGGCCTAAGGTCCGTAACACAAGGGATCCTGAGACATTGTGACGTGCAGGGACCGAGAGCTGAGGCACAGGCAGGTGCCAGGGGCTGTGGGAGCAAAGGCAGGAGGTGGGAAGAGGAATGGTCCGCGGCCTGGACCGTGGAGATGACGTGGGGCCGGGAAGAGCTGGCTGAGCTCTGACCTTGCGGCCTGTCTGGGTGCACTGTCTGGGGCGGCCCCTGCAATGGGGGGGGCGCGTGGAGGAGATCCCTGGTCCAAGCCATGAAGGCAGAGGGAGCCCAGAGCTACGAAGGCAGGACCAGCCTGTCCCTGGGCCGCCGACAGGCAGGGAGACCACTGGGCTCTCACCCAGGCGGCGAGGCCACCCTGAGCCGGAGCCGGAGCCGCCGGGTGGGGTGACCTGTCAGGTCGGAGCCCCGGCACACGGGCTACACACAGAGGCACCCGGGCTGCTGGCCTCTCCCTTACAGAACCCCGGGCCCCCAATAAACGATTTCAAAAGCAGAGGGTTTGGCTGTGCACGTGCAGGTCCTGTGAGCATCGAGCGCGTGGGTCTCTGAACGGCACTCAGTGGGCCCTGTGGGCGGGGCCTGAGTCTGGCTGTGCGTGTGCGTGTGGGTTGGGATCCCCTGAATGCTGTCCCGGTCTAAGCTTTGGGGCTCCTTCACTGCCCCCCGCCGCCACCACCACCCCAGCAGCCTCTGTCCTGGGAGGGAGGCGCCCACAGCCGCTCGCAGCCCTAGTGCTGGCAGCCCCCCGCGTGGTCTGACTCAGGTGAGGTGACCTGAGCCACCTGAGGTCCCAGAAAAGAACCCCAGCCCCAAAGTGATGCCGGAGCCACTGGCTGGCCTGGGGGGGGGGGGGTTCGGGCAGCAGGGGCGT